ATACGTTTGGCACTATTTCATAGTAGATCTGTGGTACTGAGGGCAACAGGACCAGACCTGCCGTCGCTAGAAAGCAATATAAACTAATCCGGCCTTCGGGACACAGATGGCAGCGGGCTCCTGCCGAGGACCGTGAATTCATTGCGCACATTATAATGCAATTAAATGTGCTTTTATGTAATTTTCTGTATAAATCACATTGAAATTTTGATTTTTTGTAGCATTTGCAGAAGCGTAAATAAATATTCTAAAACCGGCAGCAGCTGTGTGTGTCAATAGTAAAGGTTAAGAAAATTAGAAGGTTGTGCTGCATTGTTGTGCGCAATGACGTCATAATGTATGCAAAACCAGACATTCAGAGCTCTAATATTTTTAAGGTTCATTAACCATATAAGTCGTGTGGTTTTATATATAGACTTTCTGCAGATTTCACAATATAATTTTAGTATTCCTTTTCTAAACAGGTTTATGTCTATGCATTTTGTGTAACCTTCTTTGATTATTCAATGGCTTGATAGTTGTCATCGATAGTTAAGAATGCGATGTATAATGTATCGGCCGTCAGCTGCGCGTGCAAAACATCATTGCGATAAACTGATGTGTGCAGGTTATGTAAATTTATAGAATTGTTAATGAAAATATAAAGGATTGCTGCACTTCTTGTTAATAAGACATTGCTATGGTATTCTTGAATCTTCCTTTGATGGTAAGGGCCCGTGGCCCCGATGAATTCTGGCGGAAAAGGCGTATTTTTAAGCTCGCTGCGGTAAGTATAAGAATACTATTTAATAACGTTATTTTAACTCGTTATCTATCCTCTTGTTAATTAGCATTATCGCAGTCGAACACGGAATGTTTACACCTTTGCCATACGCAGCGTACATCGTGCCCTCGCCTACGCAACCAAGGGGCGTAAGCTCAAGAAACTGGATATGGCACAGCTGTGGACAACGCGTGTTGAAGCCGGTTGCCAACAGTATGGAGTTTCTTTAGACGCCTTCAAGGAGGGCCTTGCACGCTCTGATATCTTGCTGAACAAGTAAGTTGCCGGCTAATGCATTATTTGCCTGATTATTAATCGCTAAAATCTTAATTTATAGAAAAATATTGTCGGAATTGGCTATTTGGGAGCCACGCTCATTTGAGGCATTGGTCAATATTTCAAGAGAACGTGCTGCTGTCGAAGGCTACCCCGACATTAAACGAAGGTCGGCCTTTAATCAGGTCTATGGATTGAATAACCTGAAACTGGATTAGTTTTTAAGTATCTAGATGCAAATATAGTTTTTATATGTTAACACTGAAGTTTTCAAGCTTTATTTTTTGTATGTTATGCAAACATAAACATTGCATAGGACTTTTATTGTAGGTAATTACGTACTAATAGAAAACAGAATTCATAGAATTGTTACGGGTCATCTATTCCAACTTAGCCAAAATATCTGATTCGCGGAAGAGGAACAGCTCCTTCTTGTCGTCGCTATCCAATTGGACCTTGGTGCCGCCAAATTCGGGCAGCAAAACGCGGTCACCTTCCTTCACGCCAATTGGAATATGACTGCCAGTGGTCTATAAAAAATCCAAAGTTGATCATCAATGAAAAAACTGTTGTAATCATCGCACCCAACAATGAAATACTTACAGCATTGCGAGTGCCGGGACCGACGGCGATTACAGTGCCCTCTAGCACTTTGCCCACCGATTTTTCAGGCAAGACAATGCCACCTTTCGTTTTGGTAAGAGCTTCAGCGCGTTGAATCAAAATGCGATCCAGCATGGGGATGATTTTCTTGATTGCGGCTGCCTAAAAACATTTGTAAATAATTTCATTTACTGAGCAATCTATGGTAATTGATGTCAGACAATATTCCCCCCTGCTGCCCAAAAGCTACGCCAGAGCAGAGTTACACAACAACCCGGCAAGGCGAATGAGTTATCAGCATATGTAGAAACTTCGAGAAGCGCAAATGGTTTTTGTGATTTACACAGGCGGTAAACGGAATCAAATCAAGCTTAGCAATATACTCACCATTTTTTATGTTATTAAATGCAAAACTGGACTGCTTTAAATATCTTTAAACTTAATTGATAACTGTAAGTGAAGATTCACTACACGTGCGGACCGGTCGCGGTTGTTCGTAATAGTGATACACAACAGTCCCATACTGTGTATCGATGCTTGGTGGGTGTGCGATGTATCGTTCTATCGGCGATACAATTTACTCGTTCGATTTAAATTTAACCGTTTCAGTATTTTAATAAAAATATAAACAATGCGAATTAAGGCTTGTGCAATTAAATTAAATATTACAAATTAATATATGTATTAAGAATCTAGGTGCGAAACAATAAAATTAGACTAGCTTATTACACTTACTTATGAAAGTCATAATGTCTTAAGTGAAATATTTTAAATACCTACCTATTTCAGTTCAAGAAAACACTATATTATTCGTTAATTATGAATGTATTATCGCAATAACAATCAAGTTTTATTACCTGAACTCATTGAAAATAGGAAATCAGCGTATAATTGATTTGTATTTTTAGGACATTGTATAGATAATTCAGAGTTCAGGGGATCTCCTAGTCGTGCACTCTCGACAATTGATTTCTTACTGGTTCTACTAAGAATAGCCCAGCACATAATGGATTATATTCTTTTAACTATAAGGAATGTGATCAGCATGCATGTGTCAGCTTCATACCAATACGAATATAATAGAACCTACTCAATAGATGTAGATATTTGGTAGTATGGATTTATGCAGTCAAAGCCAGTTGTGCTGCCTGGATGCATTTTCATCGCCACTTCATCGGATTTTGTTTGTTTGTTAAATTCACAGCTGAATTTTCCTGACATTTCCAGAAGATCGCTGCAAATATTTCCATAGATAAGCGTGTCGTGTAGCTTATGTTGTAATATGGCGAGTTTAGCCAGATACCGGAGTTGGCTCTTGGACAGCGGACGTGCTGTAAAGTTCCGAACTGATTCGTTAGCCTGCATTAAAAATAAGATCTTTTTATTAAAATGTAAAGAATCACAAGTATAGGTCTTACGCTCGTTATTTCATGACAGGTTAGCTCAGTTGGCGATATTTCCAAAACTATCGTAATGGCATCCTGCAAGGTGCAATGGCTGCGATCCTGTCGAGCCACGCACAAGGCAACGAACGTGTCACTAACTCCATTTATTATTAGCTTATGCTGATGAAACAAAAGATCACATATTCGATGACTGTAGTGCAATATCTTCCTAGGATATTCCGCTTCCAGCAGAACACACAGTTCGGGAAAAATGACACCGAGGGCTTTTAGATCAAATACATAAGTGTTATTCGCCGTGGCAATCACAATCACAGATGTTTTACAGTGTCGGCCATAGAAACTGGGCTCCACCAATACCGAAATTATAGTCTGGTCGCGTATGTCTTTTAACGCCTGATGATAGGACTGGTCCGTTTGCTGGATAACAATAATGCGGTTCAATTTTTGATCCAGTGACAACAATTCGTGCGGCTGCAGACTTTTTGTTTTAACAGACTTTCGCTCCCAACTATCAGCTGTAGCGAAAGATTCCGTGCTGGTATTATTGATGTCCTCGCAATTGCTCGTATCATCATCCATTGTATTTTTAGTCTTAATCTGCACAAATAAAATTATATTTAATTACAATAAACAAGAACATAGATGACATACTTTTAAATTCAAACAAGGTGGCAACGCTTCAATAACTATCAGCCGTTTAATGGTAAACAAAAGCGAGTGCGTATAAAGTGCCGATTTAATATTAGATTTTGTAATAACCAATTAATAGCTACGTTTAGTGTTTGATCCTATTGTGAAACAATGTGTAGAACATTAAATATATTAACCACAATATAATAATCTCTTAAGCAACATACCCTTATAATTTTTCTAATTAACACAAGAGGCGAAACTAAAAGAAAGCAAAACAAAAACACATGCAAAAGTGAACGGGATCTAAGCAAAGCTAGAATTAGTGATGGCCAATACATTTTACCGTCACTGTTACTGCGACTTTCGATAATTTTTATAAGTTAGTAAAGAAAGAGAATGCATATACATATGTACATATATTTACATACATATGTATGTATGTTTTTATTAACTTTAAATGGCATTACTATTAAAGAAATGTTGTGAGGTATTTAATTTGTTATAATTTTTGCTGTCCTTTGAACTCAATTACGTCTAAAAGAGACGAAGCAAACTCAATTTCAAAGTGAAAGAAAATAAAACCTGTAAATAGACAATATTTGTTCACGAATTTCGCATTATTTTGCTCGCATTCATACAAATGCAATTCGAACTACCAAAAAATGCTGTGACAAAATGTAGTTCAATTTATTAAATGGCTTCTCGGTGTTAGGGCACAGAAACTTTCGCAATCGAGTGAAGTGCTTCTGGCAATGCAATAAGCTCAATTCATGATCTCCTTGAAAGGGGCGCACAATGCGAATAAAGATTTTTCGAAAACTCTTAATACTCGAATTTACTAATTGCAGTTGACTTAAGTTGCAATCATCGAAATACAGACGTGCCATCAGATAAATTAATATTTAAAGCTATCATCTAGGCCAATTCTGAGAACCTTCCTGCCATGGCAGCCAAACAGCAATCGGACGTTAACCGCACTTTGGCTGAGTGTGTTGCTAGGTTGCTGATGCGGACTTAATACTATAGCCCGATTAGCTTTCAATTTGAGCAATTGTGACATTTCTTCTCCTTGTTATGAAATAAAAAAGAGCATTAGCCAAATAAAATATATATATAAATAGATTTGCTTGTATTACATATGTATATGTACATACCATGCATATATACATATGTATATAGGTAAGTATATATGCTTGGAGCGTATACATAGAATAGTATATAAATAAACATATATCAGTATATATTAATTCATACATATAATATTGAAACATACATAACTTATATAAATTTAACATTATTCTAGTTAGTTGTATATTCATTCATTCATTATTTTATATTACCCATTATAATGTATAATGTTTTTCATTGTAATATAAATATATTATAAAATCTGTGTTAAACCAATGTCTAAAACAAGCGTAAGTGAATTTGAAAACGCCAATGCCTGAAACGGGATGGAAAATTTAAATTAATTTAGTTTAATTCATTTTTAATTAACTGTTCTATCCTATCCTTGCTCGCACCATCTACGATAACATTAGCAACTAACCAACCTCAGCTTTGCTCCAGGATCCAGCTATTGGCGACGAGGTGATGGCCACTTGTTGATGATTCCCACGATGTAACAGAAAGAATGTTCAAGTTTCCATTAAGTATTTCCTCGAAGAAATTCTTCTAAGTATTTCCTCCAGGAATTTCTACTAAATTCCTCCTCCATGGATTTCCTCTAGGTCATTAATGCTTAGCTGAACGATCACTAAATATGTATTTCTACACACTTCACTTCACTTCACTTCACTTTACTGCACTGCACGACTGACCCCCACTAGGCCTGGGCGACTGAAGAATTGCTGCAGCAGCTGCCCTTTATATATGGAGACTCACTTAAAGCCGAAGTTGCGCTCAAATGTTGAGCCCGACGACAGGTAGAGGTCGTGGTCGTTTGAGTGACCAATGGGAATACTCTCTGCTGCTGCAATCTAGCTTCGTTTTACTCAAATATAAATGCAGACTGAATACTACTGCATAAATATAGACAGCTTAAATGATCTTACGGAGAGACAGAGAGACAGAGAGCCAGATATACAGACAGACATACGAATAGATATATAGACAAACAACACACATAGTTAAATCGGATTACTTCATAACGCTGCTCAAGAATATATATGTATGTATGACTTGATCTAGCCTTAAATAGGCTAAGCTGGCAACACTGCTACTGTACGCCGCAGCTGCGCTCTCGGCTGTGCGCTGTTATGCGCTCACTTCTATGCTTTCTTTGCTCTGCGCTCCCTATCCGATGTGCGCTGATATGTATTGCTTCTATGCGCTCGCTTTGCTTGTGTTGGTCGCTGTTAATCCTCTTTCGGTTGTCTGTGTCTTCGCTGGATGCCGTTCTTCGTCTTGTTGTAGTTGTTAAACGCTGTGGTCGTTTGTGCTGTTGCTGAGCGCTGCTATCCGTATTGTCGTTGTTCTCTGCCGTTGCTCTTTGCTGCTGCTCTGCGCTGTTGCTCCGCTTTACTTTGTCGTTGTTGTTCGCTACTCTGTCGCTCTGCTTATACCCTGTACTCTGGCCACTGCTCTATGAGGGATATGCCTTACCCAAGTCCATCTACTATTCATGTGAAGTCTTTTTACTAATGTTAAGCTAAAGTTAATTCTACTTGACCTGTTGACCTCGATGTGAATCATTTAGCTCATTATTACCTTAAATAGACATGAAAACGCCAATAATGAGCATCATGTAACATATAATAGAGTAACCTGCCTTTAATCAACCAACGCAAACTAAAAATGCTTTGATAATAATTCAAACTAATAATTAATTGATAAAGCAAGCTGTGGTTGCTGTGGGTGGTCATTTTGTAATTTATTTTTGTGTTTTCTTTCCTGGCACTTTGGAAGATGCTTTCGATTTTCTACTCAATGCTCTTTGTGACTTAAGTTAAACTTCGTTTCGTTCTTGAAATCCACACTAATTAGGCGACTTACGAACGGTAAGCGACTGCGTGGCGAAAAGGTTAATTGCATTGTAAGCGCCTTGATGAAAAAATGTGGAGCTAACCACGCGGCATCCAGCTTGGCCGCTGACTCGACTTAATTGGCGCACGAGGCGCATACTTAATGCGCTTAGATGCGGGCCAGGCTCATCTCATCTCGTCTCATCTCATCGCAGCGCCTCGAATCGCATCGCACCGCCTCATTGCCATTACAGAAGCGGCTTTTGTGCTTCTAATTAGATCCATAGTGCAGCAGCTGGTCCTTTTGGTTCGACCTGGACCTCGAGCAACACAAATTGAAACGTTTCCAAAGACGAATTTGGTTTAATGCGTTTGCTAAGTAAATTAGGTGTGAAAATAAGTAGAACTTACCTGACTGTTTGTGTGCGTGTGCAATGACTGTGAAATGATTTTAATTGATACTGCAAAGGCTGCAATTCGAAATCTATCTGCCAACTTTGGCATTAAGTGTTTGATTTATTTAGCTGGCATTACGGTAAATAAGGCCTGATTAAAGCTTCCACTTAACCCATCAAATAAGAAATGGAACATAAATTTAATGACAGCATTTTGTTCAATCTCCCTGCAATGTTAATCTTTGTGTATCTATTAATTGCTTTTGGTGTCACATCGATTGAAGGCGAGCTGAAATTTCCCATGGGCAGGTAAATGCAAATCAACTGTCTGATCGAAATTCCACAAATAAATGAACTAATTAAATATTCTGATTGTGCGACAAGCGACATATTTGATTATTGCAAATTTAATGCATAACAGCACCCAAAAACCTTAGCTAGGGTCAACTGCGGGCCAAGCTCTGATTCGATGTCACAAGTTAAATCAACAATAACAAGCGAACAGAGGCAACAGCAACAGCAACAGCAACAATGATGATGATAAACACGCGACGACAACAAAAATAAATAAAACAATTTATGCTGCGGCACTGGACGAAGAGATACCCTGCAGAGTGCGGGGGTGTTGAGAGATATTATTATACACGTACATGTTGTGAAAAGGGTAAATAAATTGGGTTCGCGATAAAGCTATAAGATAGGGAAGAGAGATACATATACGTAAGCCCTTGGCATTTCGAATCGAATAAAAACTGATTTATACACCTGATATGTTGAATATGCTAGATTGAGGAGCCTTGAATTATACTTTTACAAATCAGAACTCATAATTTCACACTGCTTTTACTGTTTAGTTTCTCCGCAATTCGTCTCAGTATCATAAAATTCTCTTGGTCGCATCATAACTCGTCTTATCCTGTGAAAGTAGAGTTAGAATAACCAAAAATGGTATACGACTATACCAAAAATTCAAAATAAACTCAAGTAAACTGGATTCATGTTGCTTAGTTTATTTAAAAAATCTATGCAGATGTATATATGTATATTATTATAATACAATATATGTATATTGTTTGCTATCCTTTTTGTTTAACTACTATCTTTGCTAAGTACTTAAGCTATTAGCAACTCTTCTCAAATTATATTTTTATAAATTATTCTGGTCTTCCAATTATGCCAATGTCCTTTTTAATCTCACTTTCAATCGATCCATTTGCACACATATTACAAATACAGGGTGTACTAAAATAAATGAACGACTGATTGTGTTGGCGGTTTAATACTTGTGCATGTGAAACATGAAAATGGCTTTGCATGTTATGTGTGCTGAGAGCAACAACAAAGGCAACCACTGCTACAACACCAGCAGCAACAACAACAAGAACAGCATTCGTAGTAGCAGCGACAACAACAAGAACGTTCCACTAATTACTCTAATTGTGCACGGGAGGTGTGGAAACACTTCGAGCAACGATGACGACAAAACTCCAATTTGGACTTTGACTTTTGTCTGCCAAAGTTTCTAACAATGTTTGAGCTGGTCACGTGACAGCATCATGAACTAACCAGCCAGGTAGCAGGACAGCAAGGTAGGCAAGGTAGCAAAGCAAGCAGCCAAAAGGTTTTAAGCTCGGCGTATCACTTTACTTTATGCTACTAATTGTAACGGAAAGCTGCAAAGTTCCAAGGTAAAAATTCAACTTGATTTTCCCTTTCTCTTTTTTAATAGCTTAATTAACTATATAAAAAGTTTTGCTATAAGCAGCAGCAAAGCGGAAATAATTTGCAACCAATATTGGCTGAGAAGCAAAATAAAATAAAAATTGAAATTTAAATAAAGTTTTTTTTTTTGGAAATCTTATACAATAAAATTATTGCTTTTATTTATCTAGATTTTCTGATTATTAAAATAAAAATATTGTTTTTATTTTCATATGCTTACTTAATAAAAATGGAAATACAAATATTGTCTGTATTTATTTTAATTATAAATTCAATTTTTGTTTTCATTTGTATAATGATTATAAAATAAATAAAATATTTAATATGCAATATTTAAACTAATTAAATATATATATATATATTTTAATTCAGAAATCTAACCTCATAGAAATCTAAAGAAATACAAATATATATCAATTTTTTTTAAATAAATTATCCCAATTAAAATACCAAAACTTTAACAATAAACAGAAAAGTTTTTAAAAATATTTGACACTTGGCTACGTTTCCATTTGGACTGAATTGTCTAACTGAAATAGTGCAACACGATCTCAAATCACGTGCGCAGCTCTATTTAGTACAGCTTGTTTGGGGCGCTAGTGTTGCCGTTAACGTCATCAGGTTAGAAGGCCGCAGCACGTTGGCATCGCGTGCTCGACATGTGCCGACTGTTATTACGTATACGCCAGCGCGGCCAACTGTGTAGAAATAAAACATTAAATTACGTAGGTCGCCAGATGCCCATTGTTTCTGTCTCTGACTTGGAGCTGTGTGCGAGTGTGTGTGTGAGTGTGAGTGTGTGTGTGTGTGTGTGTGTGCAACTGCGACTCGTGCAGGTGTGGCACACACGTAGACCGCGCACGTAGCTGAAATTTTAAGCAATCAGCCAGGTAGCGGGGCAGACACAGACAGACAGACAGACAGATAGTGAGACAGCAGGACAGGCTGACAGACATTCGGGAAGGGCTTGCTGCTGGTAGAGGAGAATTCGGACCGCCTGCGGTTTCCTACCGAAGTGGCCTTTAATAGTTTGCTGTCTGCAACTGCAGCAGAATGTGGCATGCACACATACACATACACATACACATATATACCTACATACATATATCTAGCCATGCCGCATGTTGAGTTGTGCGATTGTGGCGTGTGTGTGCTCGCCAAACCAAAGACCAGCTTAATGAAATAGCAAAGAAAATTGTGGCCGCTGCCACGGCTACATAAATGCCACTGCTGCAACACGAACTAAAATTGTAATTATGCAGCAATTGCACTGAATGTCCAGTGCCGAGAGCCGAGAGCCGCGAGTCCAGTGCCGCATTTCAAATGACCACAAGCGCGGCATCCACAAAACTGAAAGTCCACTTTGCTTAAGTAAATTATATAAATTCCACATTGGCCAATAATTATTCCCGACTGACTCGAAATGCTTCTGCCTCGTCACTCAAGCTGAATAGTATTTGGTCAACAATTTTTGTATAGGTCTTTCTCTTCTTTAAGATACTTAAAAAGCTAATAAGAGTGGTGTGAATCGAAACTTCATGGGAAACACAAATGTTGAACAGACACAATAATAGAGGGAATGACATATTCCCAGAATCAAGTTGGCAATTTCAATTTGGACGCTGATTGCATATTTGCATGTATTTTATTTTTACGTAATTTTGTTTGTCAACGTTACATAAATGTGCCTCAAATAAACGGATGCACGTTTTTCATATTAAAATGTATTCTATTTTTAACTTTTTTTCAAGAAAAAAAAAAAAAAACAAGCACATATACATACACGCGCACACACAAACAAGGCATTGATTTGTATTGGGAAACATTGCTCCGCCCTTCCAGAGGGGGAAAAATTCGTGTAAGCAACAATTGGCAATATTTCAATTCAAGCTAAGACTTTTATATAGCCTTGGGAAAATGCTGAGGCTTAAATAAAATCCATAGCAGCTGGCACGCAAGTAGCCACAAAACATGGCTTAAAGACTATTTGGCCACAACTTTAAGGCAACAATCCGCAAGACGAAAAAAAAAAAAAAACCGTCGCAATAAAACTAAATGTGTATATGTGTGTGTGTGGGTGGGTGTGTGTGGGTGGTTGTAGGGGGCATAGGACAAGCAACATTTGCATTGTACATGTTGTTTGTATGTATATATATAAATATGTGTGTGTGTGTGTGTGTGTGTGCGTGTAATAACAGAGCAAACAAACAATGGCAAGAAAACAAATATTAACAATGCCAATAAACATAAGTAAAGCACATACTGCGAGAAGTACCAAGAAATAATCCTCAAAATAATCATTATGGCCATAAGGAGGCGATGCCAGAGAAGCAGACCCAGAGCAAGAGGAAGAGCTACAGACATTGCCATAGCCATGTAAAAATTGCAATGGGCTATCAAAAAACAAGCAAAACAACATGAAAATGGACAAAACTGAAATATGTCCACATCCTTGGCCAAGCACTTTGGGTGTATTAGAGCCCCGAGTCACAGTGTTTATCTTAACATCCATGTACTCGCATTAGGCAACCACATACCAGAAATTTTAGCATACACAAGCAGACACACACACACACACACATGCACACACTTGCTCAGCCCAGACAGCGAGACATTGGCTAAGCCCAAAAGGATAATCGGCAAAGATTTAATGGTATTTTTATGTTAGCAAAAGGATTTTTAATTGCTTATACGGGGATTCTGACCCGACCACCTCGACGACTTGGGTCTCCTTGGGCTACTTATACACATATGTGCATACGCATGTATGTGTGTTTGTGTGTGTGTGTGACAGGTGTATCGCAAATTAGACAAGAATTAGCAGGAGCCACAGACAGACGCACAAGGCCAGGCCCCACTCGCTCCCAAAATTGATGATAG